TCTAAACCACTTAGCAAAAGTTCCAACAATAATCATCTTAAAGTAAACTGGCTCTAACACTTCCTCTGTAACTTCCTGTTTCCTCCTGCCTAGATTCCTTTGGGACAATACGCTGAGGAGCATTTCACTGAGGGGCGGGCCCAGGAGGTGATTGACAGGTTCAGAGCAGAGCTGAAGGAGATCGAGGAGCAGATCCTGGGTCAGAATGAAGGACTGGAGCTCCAGTACCTGTTCCTGCTGCCCAGCCGCGTGGAGAACAGCATCACCATTTAGAGAACATCCAGATAGAGTCAGAGGCCGTTTCTCAATCTCGAGGATACTGGCTTCCAAGCCAATATTTCAAGGACGCTACGTCATCGAGTGCCGCCGAAGGACTGTTCCAATCTCCAGCATACTTGAAATTCCACCGAGGCCGCGTCCTTGGTTTGGGGGAAATTTCGAGGCTGCACATGGGTAGACTTCGCGTCCTTAAAATCCCCACAATGCTTTGCGCACAGACCAATTTCAAAAACCCTTGCGGAGAATGGCTGAACCGACGCAGCACACATTTAAATGTAAGTATGTAGAGCCGTAGAAAATGTGTTGGCAACTATGTTACTTTGTTACATTTGTTTGTTATCACCAAAAATGTGTTCCGTGAAAGTAAAGCAAGTTCATAATTAGATAGACATCGTGAGGTATTTATTTTCGGTACAGTTTATGTTGAAACCGTTAGAGAGAGTGGCACACTCGTTAGCCTGTTCCATTCTTCTTCGTTTTCCGAAGCCGTGGCTTGGAAGCATACTTGCTTCGTTTCTGAAGGAAGTGACTTGGAAGTACACGACTATCAAACCAGCATCCTCGCGATTGAGAAACACTCAGGGAGTCATTACATTCAATGTTGTAATCAAAATAAAACACAAGTATGGAGAAATATGTTTATATGTGTTTGAATATTAAACTATTTATGATGTTAAGGAAACATTTAATGGAATATGCTGTGTGTTGTAAAGTGGTGGAAGAAGTACTCAGATCTTGTACTTCAGTCAAAGTAGCAATACTACATTTCATGCAATCATTCAAAATCTTACTTACTTAAAAGTAAAAAGGTTTGCCATTAAAAATATATTTAAAGTGACAAAAGTAAAAGTACTCGTTATGCTTAATGGGCCATTTCAGGATTCACTTAGGAGTAATGCATTAATTCATCCATCACAATTGGAAAAGTTTGAGCTAATTTGAATGACTGTAAGTTGATCTGGATATTTTAGCCTTAAATGAAATTCTAATGTTAATTTGTACTTATTAGTTGATTTATAATTGGTTTTATCTCATAATCTGAATCTATAAAGTAACTAGTAACTAAAGCTGCCAAAGTATTGAGTAGCATACATTTAAAAGACTCAGGTAAAGTACCTCAAATGTGTACAGTACTTGAGTAAATCTACTTTATTAAATTCCACCACTGGTGTTGTACGTCTAAAATACGTCTACTGCTACAACTTAACACATTAAGTTGTAGTAGTAGACGTATTTTGTCATGAAACCAATATTTTTGAAAAATGTGATCCAATGATATTCCTAGCACAGGTGTTTACTGGCCAAATATAAGGAGGAACGACAGAATAATGAAGACAAATGAATAGTGATAATGAATAGTGTATTGAAAAAGTTCCAGAAAAAATTAAGGCGGATTTAGTATGTCTGTCGAGAATTAAAGAAAAAACAACATAGTATGTTTTTGTTTTTTTCATATTTTCGACATACTTTACTGTGCTGTTTTTTTAAAATACTTTCAACCTTACTATGTGTTTAAAAAAATTAATATTTTTGACATACATTGACATACATTTGACTATGTCGTTATTTAAATATCTATGCCAATTTTTGGTATATTTGACTTACGTTATTACATTTTTTGGACATACTATGTTGGTTTTTAAAAAACTAATAATTTCAATATTATATGTATATCTATGCTGTTTTTAAAAATACTTTCGACATACTATACCAGGGGTGTTAAACTCAAATACACAGTGGGCCAAAATTTAAAAATGGGTACTAGTTGAGGGCCGGACTGGTTCAATGTTTATTGCAAAACTTATTGAAATAACTGATTGTATATTAAACCTCTATTGCCGAAGCCGCGGCGGGGAGCTGTGGTCTCAAGGTCCTAGGTACCTCAAGGGGCGGTAACCCTCGAACCTCCTGGTGGACACCGGTGGTCAGGGAAGCCGTCCGACTGAAGAAGGAGGCCTTCAGGGATTTGTTATCCCGGGGGACTCCCGAGGCAGTTGCAAGGTACCGACAGGCCCGAAGGGCAGCAGCCTCATCCGTGGCCGAGGCAAAGCACCGGGTGTGGGAGAAGTTCGGAGAAGACATGGAGAAGGACTTTCGGGCGGCACCAAAGTTGTTCTGGAAAACTGTCCGACACCTCAGGAGGGGGAAGCAGGGAACCATCCAAGCTGTGTACACTAAGGATGGGACGTTGTTGACCTCAACTGATGGAGTGTTAGGGCGTTGGAAGGAACACTTTGAGGAACTCCTGAACCCGACAACTCTGCCCTCTATGTTAGAGGCAGAGCTGGAGTATGACGGGGGATCAACACCAATCTCCCGGGGGGAGGTCACTGAGGTCGTCAAACAACTCCACAGTGGCAAAGCCCCGGGGGTGGATGAGATCCGCCCAGAAATGCTGAAGGCTCTGGGTATTGAGGGACTGTCATGGTTGACACGTCTCATCAACGTTGCGTGGAAGTCGGAAACATTACATTACATTACATGTCACTTGTTAGACGCTTTTATCCAAAGCGACTTACATACTCAATACTGTGGGCAATCCCCACAGGAGCAATTTGGGGTGAAGTGTCTTGCCCAGGGACACAACAACATGCTGACTGCAGTGGGGTTTGAACCTGTGACCTCCTGATCCGAATACCAACTCACAACCCACTGCACCACACGCCTCCAGTACCGAAGGAGTGGCAGACCGGGGTGGTGGTCCCCCTTTTTAAAAAGGGGGATCAGAGGGTGTGTGCCAATTACAGAGGCATCACACTACTCAGCCTCCCCGGGAAAGTTTACTCTAAAGTACTCGAAAGGAGGGTCAGGCCGATTGTCGAACCTCAGATTGAGGAGGAACAATGCGGATTCCGTCCTGGTCGTGGAACGACGGATCAGCTTTTTACTCTCGCAAGGATCCTGGAGGGGGCCTGGGAGTACGCTTATCCGGTCTGCATGTGTTTTGTAGACTTGGAGAAGGCGTATGACCGAGTTCCCAGGGAGTTACTGTGGGAGGTGCTGCGGGAGTATGGGGTGAGGGGGTCTCTACTCAGGGCCATCCAATCTCTGTACTCCCAAAGCGAGAGCTGTGTCCGGGTCCTCGGCAGTAAGTCGGACCCATTTCCGGTGAGGGTTGGCCTCCACCAGGGCTGAGCTTTGTCACCAATCCTGTTTGTAATATACATGGATCGGATTTCGAGGCATAGTCATGGGGGAGGGGGTCTGCAGTTCGGTGGACTAAGGATTGCACCACTGCTTTTTGCAGATGATGTGGTTCTAATGGCTTCATCGGTCTGCGACCTTCAGCACTCACTGGATCGGTTCGCAACCGAGTGTGAAGCGGCTGGGATGAGGATCAGCACCTCCAAATCTGAGGCCATGGTTCTCAGCAGGAAACCAATGGACTGTCCACTCCAAGTAGGGAATGAGTCCTTACCCCAAGTGAAGGAGTTCAAGTATCTCGGGGTCTTGTTCTCGAGTGAGGGAACAATGAAGCGTGAGATGGGCCGGAGAACAGAGCAGCGGGAGCGCTACTGCAGTCGCTTTACCTCACCGTTGTGACGAAAAGGGAGCTGAGCCAGAAGGCAAAGCTCTCTGTCTACCGGGCCATTTTCGTTCCTACCCTCACCTATGGTCATGAAGGATGGGTCATGACCGAAAGAACGAGATTGCGGATACAAGCGGCCAAGATGGGTTTTCTCTGCAGGGTGGCTGGTGTCTCCCTTAGAGATAAGGTGAGAAGTTCGGTCATCAGGGAGTTGAGCCGCTCTTCCTTCGCGTCGAAAGGAGCCAGTTGAGGTGGTTCGGGCACCTAGTTAGGATGCCACCTTGGCGCCTCCCTAGGGAGGTGTTCCAGGTACGTCCAGCAGGGAAGAGACCAAGGGGTAGACCTAGGACCAGGTGGAGGGGTATTATCTCTTCGCTGGCCTGGGAGCGCCTTGGGATCCCCCAGTTAGAGCTGGTTGATGTCGCCAGGGAAAAGAAAGTTTGGGGCTGTCTGCTGGAACTGCTACCCCCGCGACCCGACCACGGATAAGCGGGAGAAGATGGATGGATGGATTGATATTAAACCTGGATCTAACAAAGCTTAAATGATTGCCTATAAAAACAACATTAAACATTACATAATCAGTTGCATTAATTTCTTATGGCTCTATATGCAGCTTTAAGTAATTTCTTATGATTACATTTTTCCACAGGCCAACAACAGCTTAAAAAACAAACAAACATGCCCTGTTGTCTCAAGACAAAAAGTACAAAAGGAAACATCCATGTAAACTCAGTGTGCTGCTCCGTGATGCTAGTTCAAGCCAGATACCTGGCATCTCATCTCGGGTGCAAGTTCATCAATGTTTGGGCTCAGGCTCTGAGCTGAGGAAACCCTCAGGATTGAGTGAAGGTGTGCGTGCGATATACCGGCGGGCCTGATCTAATAGTAATTAGAAATTATCCTGCGGGCCGAAATTAAATCCACCAAGGGCTGGATTTGGCCCCCGGGCCTTGAGTTTGACACATACTATGTCGTTTTTTTATATTTTCGACATACTTTGTCCTTTTTTTAAATAATTAACATGCTATACTATGCCGTTTTTTTCAAATACTTTCGACATTCTATATACTATGTTGTTTTTTACATTTTCGACATACTATACTATCTCATTAAAAATATATATATTTTCTCGACAATGTTCTATTTTTATTTGTGTGTTGTGCAGTGTGTGCAAGTTGGAGTCTTGGTATGTCATTACATATATACCCATGCACTTTATTACAACACTTAAATAACTTCAATTACAGATGTTGATGATGTCTTAAAAAGTTGAACGTTCCAGTTTACCCTTTATTGAAATAAAGGACATATAAACATGTAAATAAAAAGCTTTCCAGAATTCATGTGAATAAAGCGAACATCTATATACATGTAATGCGACCTTGGCCATAAATAGAGACAGGATAGGATTTTTTTTGAGGAACTGTACGGTGATAAGTAAGCAGGAAGGAAATGTGATCAAACGTTCCACACACAGCTGGATTCTGGCAATTTGAAATACATTAACTTGTACAGTTTGAAAGAGCAAATCAGGACAATATCATTTACAACCCTTACATGTAGTTAACTCTGGAGAACAGCAGTGGGTATCTTCATGGCACAAACAAATCATTTTAGCACTTGTGATCAGAGGTAGAATCAATCTAATTTGAAATACAGAAAGGTGCACAACATTGATCTGCTCACAGCTCCCCCCCCGTAGATCATCGTCAGGAGTTTAGATCCTGAGACGAAGACATGATCATAGAACTTCTCGGCCAATCAGGAGGCACTAGTGCACCAGGTACTCCTAAAGAACAGAAAACAGTTATATCATTAAATATAAAACTGGTTAAGGACATATTTAATAAATAATCAGAGGTGCAAGAAGTACTCAAATGATTCCCTTAAGTAAAAGTAGCAATAATACAGTGTAAAAATATTCAGTTACAAGTAAAAGTCCTGCATTCAAAAGTAAAACTACTCATTACGCAGAATGCACGATTTAAGCACCATATATTTAAAATATTGTATTATAATTATTGATGCATTAATGTGTTCATTACTTCAGTGCTGCACTTGGTAAACGAGGGGTTTATATTAATGACTTGATATAGTACGGGGAAGATTTACTAGATGATAATGAATGATTTGATACTTTCACACATGCTCTACAGCTGATCAAACTGTGTCTTTTAAAGCTTCAACATCATGGATCATCATCTTCAACTGACTTTCCTGGATTGTATTTTAAACAGGCAGTGTTTTGTTCTGGGTTTATGAGAATTGTAGTCCATAGCAGAGTTCCCGTTAGAATATTTTTTCGCCGGTCAACATGTCCGTTAAAGTTTAAATCTTCCGGACAAAATTTGAAAAGTGCCGGTCAAAGGTCTTCTTTATTTATTGAGCTTTAAAACAAATTGATATGATTCGATATTAAACAAACTAATTATAGTAGATTAACTACATTATTCAAAAGTGTTCAGTAATTTACAATAACACGGGAATAATAAACGGAGCGCTCTCTCGCTCTCCTGACAGCCCATCATCAGTATCATGCAGCTCTCGGATCCAGTAATGAGTGACCCGACAGTAAAACTAAACATATCTATAACTAGTTACGGTAGTTTGAGAGGTCATTAAAATAGCTACGTGTGATATTCTAACCTGAAGTGTGTGTTTTGTCCGCTCACCGCTGCATGTGATTATGCAGAGCTGCGTGTCGACTCGTCAGCAGCAGCTGATCTCTCTCTCCCGTCAGATTAGACTTCACTCGCGTTTATGTCCATATTGATCAGATCCAGCTAGTTCTAGCTAATGATATGACTACCTGCTTATTAAAAGACACCTAAACAATAAGTGTTGCTAACTAGGGCCGGGACTTTAACGCGTTAATTAAGATTAATTAATTACACAAAAATTAACGCGTTAAAAAAATTAACGCATTTTAATCGCACTTATTTTTGCACCGCGGAACGTTTCTCACTGGATGAGTTTCAGGCGTACCGATTATACTGGAGCACCAACTAACGTTCATGACTTCAGACAACAACAAACCACAGTGAACAACAGTGGGAAATGTTGTTTTAAAAAACGGACGGATGGAAGCGTTGATAAGAGCACGGTTGTGTGCAAATTATGCAAAAAGGAATTCGCATATCACCGCAGCACATCAAGCCTCAAGTATAACCTCAATGCAAAACATATAGCAGCTAGCGTGGAAGCTAGCGTGGACGTTAGCCTCTTTTATCGCGTTCACACCAAAAAGAGCCGGTACTAAAATTAGTTCATGAGAACCTTTTTACCCCCACGAAAGTCCCTGCTAGAGAGCAGAGAGCTGCTAGAGAGCAGGGACTTTCGTACGGCTCTCTTGTGAGAAAAGAGCTATATTTCTGATTGGCTGGGCGGATTGCAAACCACGCCCCGTAAAACTCCCAAAAAGTTTGGTGAAGCCGCCATTTTATTATCCTCGCATTAGCATTATTAGCATTAGCCCAGCGCAGAAACGCAGAGAGACTAACTTATGGCAACACAAAATAAAACATGGGAGCGGTGGAGATGAGGAGGTGTCGGCGTTCTGGCGATTTACTCGGAAGGCTGCTGGGACTCCCAGCAGCTTCTACTGAAGCCAGTCCCCTACTCCGGGGACTTCCGGCCGGGGACTTTGGGCGGCAGTATACGCCGTGAAGTGGTTTGCGGCCTGCCAGTAAACCCAAAGCAGAAGAAGAAGAAGTGACGCCAGCGGCTTCATTTGTTCTCATGAACTAAGTTCTCATGAACCTTTGTGGGAAAAGTACTGCGGTGTGAATGCACCTAATGGTATACTAAAATCCATGTGAAAAAAATTGCTTCTCACTGTTCTCAGGTCAAATATTTATATGCGATTAAAAATGCGATTAATTTCGATTAATTAATTACAAAGCCTCTAATTAATTAGATTAATTTTTTTAATCGAGTCCCGGCCCTATGCAACTGGGTGAGGCCACAAAGTATAGCGCAGCATTATGCATTTGTTTACATGCCCACCGGAACCCCGAGGCATTACCAACAGATCACCGCACAATCAACCCATACAGGACATCTCTTTCTTTATTAAGTGTTAGACATTATAATTGACTATTCTTGTCTGTCACATACTCTTTTGTCTGTCACATAAGTGGCGCAAGTTGCGCAACTGATGCGGTATTGCGCTAAGGGGAAATTATTTTGACCGGACACTTTGACCGGAGAGATTTAGATTTGCCTGTCTTCAGCATATTTTACCGGTCGTAGTCTGGTAATTACCAGCTAACGGGAACTCTGGTCCATAGTTCAGGAGGTTTTGACCAGGAGCAGAACTGAGAGATCTGAGACAAACACACCCAGTGACTCAATCCATAAAGGGGATATGATGTGTACAAGACATAAAGAAAGAGACCTTGATAAAAACACAGATTCCTCATGTTTGAAAATTATTCTGAACATTTGGGATACTGTAAGTTCACAACTCAATATAATATATCATTCAAAGTTTTGGTCATTCTCTTTTGTAAAGCGTATTCTAGAAAACTATTAAAAACCTAATATCTATCATTAGCTAAATCCTAACTAATACAAATAAACGAGATCAATTAAGGTTCAAAGAAAAATGGAAGGAGGAATTAGAAATGAATATCATAATAATAATAATAAAACGCACAAGACAACAAATTCACTTTTTTGGCAGGAATATTCTTGGAAGATAAAACTGCACAACTGGGGATATCGGATGGAGAAAATGGATTGAATATTGCAAAAACTAAAACTAAAATGTAATGCTCTTTTTATTTTTAAATGATTCCTATTATTATTATTTGGGCTAAAGCACAGAGCATGTTTTCCTTTCCCCAGTGCATGCTGGTTGTTTTTAGTTATGCTGAGCTGCTAAACATAAGGCTGCGCATGTTAATATGTATACAAGTAAGTGTGTATGTATATAAATGTATATATGTAGATGACAGGGGTATATACATATATAAAGGTGTGTATGAATGAATGTGGGTCTTTCTCAATGTCGAGTACGCTTGCTTGGTAGCACATGTCTTCCGAGTCACAGTTTGCTTGAGGCAAGAATACTTCCTGGCATTTGGAAAATGAAGAGTGAAGTGTGCAGGTGTGCGTCATATGAGAGGCCCCGCCTTACATTTTCCACCACAGATTTGGGGAAATTGGTCTGTGCGCAAAGCATTATGGGGATTTTAAGACCGCGGAGTCGACACATGTGCAGCCTCGAAATTTCTCGCTACGAAGTACGCCGGGCTCGGTAGAATTCCAAGTATGCTGGACATTGGAACAGACGGCACTCGATGACGTGGTATGCTTGAAATAGTGGCTCTGGAGCAGCTTTACTCGACATTCAGAAACACCCACCGCGTGAAATCATCCCTGTGTTTTGTTCGACCCATGAGTCATTGCTTTGTAACCAGCTCTAAATATAACGTATATGTTACTGCTTAGATTCTTTTCCCTCTTTTTCTTATTCTTTATTAGTTTTATTTTTTTCTTTGTTGTAACTTACCTATGCTATTTGTAAAAATAAGAGTTTATATTCTGAAGTTCTGAACAAAGTGCATCCGTTAATGAAATAAACTAAGAAATAAAAAATGCGGGATGTGACATTAAATACCTTCAATTTCTCAACATCAGTTAAAGCGAGTACATCAGAAGAAAGTATGTATTGTATTGTATACACAATCAGGGCTCCCTTCCCTTTGTCCTTTACTCTGGCCTAACCCTTTCAATAAATCAAATAAAAACCAATAAAGAATTGACCTTGCGCTTGTTGAGCTTCATCTGGCAGCAGGAGAAGAGTCCGAACAGCACGTAGATACCAGCAGCGATGAAGCAGTTGTAGCCCACCTTGTTGTACAGAGCGTAGATCCTGTGGGGTGGGTCCGTACTGAGGAGGACAACATCAGAAAAACAACATTGTTAAATCATTAAAGGAATACTTCAGAATTGTAGGAGATGTTTGCTTCCTTTTGAACAGAATGAGTTGTTATTATGTTCAAATTGTTGTTGTTATTATGTTCAAATAATATGTGTTTATCTTTTTACCGAACACATACAGATGTGTTCGGTAAAAAGATGGATTTAAAGACTCAAAGCAAGGAAACACAGTAAGTTAAACACACATACAGATATAAAAAGCTCACTAATGTAAATATTGTATGAAGTCATTAGTGATTAGGGATGTCATATGGAAGTCTGAGGCAAAGTAGGATCTAGTGAGGGTTTCTGACGGCTACATTTTGTCTTTGGCATACTCTATTAATATTATTTAAAATGTCAATAACGGTCTGTGTACTCTGTGGGGGGAGGGGGGGGGGGGGGTAGTAAAGTCCTTACTCTTTGAGGTCGTCTTTTGTCACAGGAACATCTTCAAACAGCACGGCTGAGTGTGTGCTGAAGAAAATCCCCACCATGGCCTGAGAAAGAGGGGAGGGGGGGTCAGACAGGGGTCGAAATGTCTTTTGTTTTGAATATATAAATACAAGTAAAAGTAAAGTTATATGACAAAAGTGTGATTAAACTAAACTTAATGTTTAATTTCATCAAAAATAATATGACCAAACTTGTTTTAAAGTGCAACATTTAACAACAGAATACAGTCAGTTTATAACATCAACTTTAAACACAACATTAATTAAAAAAGGAAATATATATATCGGAAAATATTAATCACAGTATAGTATGTTGAAAAAGCACATTCATACTGTAGTCAGAATATATAGCAAGTTGAAAAAAGGTCATAGCGTGTGTAAATAAAATAAATAAAAATCATAGGTCAAAAATATCCAGATCTTTTTTTTATAATAAAATATGTCGAACATTTTAGAAAATGTTTTTTGTGTCGAAAAAGTCATAGTATTTTAAGTTTGAAAACATCAGAGAAAAAGTTATAGTATATTAGTTCAAAGATTTCAGAAAAAGGTCAACTTACAGTGTGTTACAAATATCAGAAAAAAAGTAAAAAGACATTTTTGGAAAATGTTATGCAACTGCACCTGTTCCTATTTAAACTCCATTATTGTTGACTCAACTTCTTGCTGCTTTCAGTGATACTTTGACTAAGTATAGGCAGTACATTTGCTGAAGTACTGTACTTAAGTAAAATGTTTTAGGGACTTATTTCCATTGTATGCTACTTTGTACTTCTAACCCACTACAGTTCAGAGGTACTGGTGTAAGGTGTACTATATGTTGATGCTAATACTTTTGGACTTTTACTTAAGTAACATTTTGAATGTAGGACTTTTACTTGTAGGGTTGCCAACCGTCCCGTATTAGCCGGGACGTCCCGTATTTGAGCCAAAAGGGGCGTGTCCCGTACAGGACATTGTTTGTCCCGGACTCCCGTGTAAAGGGAAAAATAAAAAATATTTGTCTGTTTGCGCGCAATGCAGTGTGTCTGGCTGCGTGCCTGTGTGTTATTGTGCTGCTCAGTTGACAGGGCAGGCACAATGCTCGCACGTGTGTGTGTGTGTGTGTGTGTGTGTGTGTGTGTGTGTGTGTGTGTGTGTGTGTGTGTGTGTGTGAGATTTTCTCCGGTGGGCGGCATCATTGTTTGTGTGGCATGTCAGCCTGTTCAGTCGTGTGGGAAAATGAGCGCTGCCGGTGGAGGAGGTGATAATGAAAGAGGAGAAGAGAGAGAGGATGTGGTTCTGGGCCCTGGCCCTTCTAAAAAGAAAATACTTGTGTCTTACAACAAACAGTGGAAGAAAAACACAGTTGGGTAAAGCCCGTGAGTAGAGATCTGTCTCGGGTCTTCTGCACCTTGTGTCGGAGGGAGTTTTCAATAGGTCACGGTGGAGAAAACGAACTGAAACAGCATGCTGGCACAGAAATGCACAAGCGAGCAACACAAAATAAAGGTGCATCAAATATAACTAAATTCTTCGGCAGTTCAACTGCAGAACAAGACAAAGTTGCTGCATGTGAGGTAACATCAGTGTATCACACAATTAAGCATGGTTTGAGTTACAACAGCATGGACTGCAGTAATAAGCGGGCAAGTGCCATGTTTAGTGATGTGAACACTGCAAAGAAAATGCAATGTGGAAGAACAAAGGCTGAGATGATAACAGCTAGTGATGTTACGTATTGCGCCGAGGCTTCGGAGCGTGTGTCGAGTAATCTCCGAAGCTTTTTGTGAAGCATGTATCGAGGCTTGTATCGTTTTGGGCCAGTGACGTCATCGATGACAAACGAAGCCTCGCTGCCTGTCGATACCACGTGACTGCTTCAGGAAGCGATTCAGATCGGTTGAACCGTTGAACCACAACGCTCATAATACCAATGGATGTATAACAAGAACCATATTACCCCTCCTGTACCCGGGCCCGGTGACACGATGGAATCAAAAGAGCTCAGACCCTCACTTATATAGAGGTCGGAACATGTCATAAGTATAAATAAATACAAGCATAAATAAATGTAGGAATAAAAACATCAATAAAAACATGAATAAATACAGGAATACATATCTTGCAGTGTTTTCAGGGAGCTTTAGTGTGTGTGCTGTGGCTCAGCTGGAAAACAGTTGACTCATGACCGCAGGGTCCCTAGTTCAACGCCTGAACAATACGTCTTTGTTGTTGTTTATAAAAGCTACAGCTAAATGAGATAATGTAGTTAATAAATGTATTCTTTGATATGGTTTAGCCTTTCTCAGGCTACAACATGGTTACGTTTATGAATATTATTAAGGAATACAAATCCCTCTTTGCAATGTTTACCAGCCTCCTTAGGCTTTTCAATCACAATCATTAAACTGGAATAAATACAATATTGTTAACATGAAAATATGATTTAATGTTCGTTGTTTAGAGTTATTCTAAGGCTTTACTCATTGGGAACTCGGTATGAGATAGAGCACACTGTTGAGATGTCCAATCTGCCTGTTTTACACACTTTGACCAACAGGGGGTTTGTGTTCAAATGAAGCCCATGATGAAGCCTCATGAGATGAACCCTTTTGCGAACCAATTGGCTGGAAAGCTTCAAAGCTTCATAAGGCTTCATCTCACCATCACTAATAACAGCCAATGTGCTTGGCCCCAAAACTGTTCGGGATATTCTAAAAGAGCTGTGTCCTCCTCCCACTGAGGTCAGGTGAGGAGGTGGAGTAACTAAAAAGTAACTAAAGGTGGAGTAACTAAAAAGTAACTAAAGGTGGAGTAACTAAAAAAGTAACTAAATCCGCCAGAAACCCGAAAATCTTTGCGCGCACGCGCGCGGGGGACAGTGGCGGAGCCAGGATATTTTCAGTGGGGTGGCCAGGATGGAACCAGTGATCATTTTGGGGTGGCATTGAAATCACTATTATATGAACATAAAAATACATCGCACTATAAAATAAGGGGTTATTTAAGGCACCTACAACACACCTCTACATTATTTGGGATTAAGCTAGTGGTGGAATAGATCAAATAATATTCACTATATCTAACTATTTTTTTCGTATTCCCGCAGGCAAAGTATCAATGAAGCTTACATTATACAAATGTAATGCAATATACAGACTGTTTAGCTTATGGTGATCAGCAGCCCTATGAGCTCATTCTCTCAGTGTATCACCAGGAATACAGAGACACACACACATCATTTAAATAAGAGTTTTTAAATCAAATGATAGGTTAGAATAAACATCTTAAAGTAAATAACAATAAACAATAGTCCTTAACCCTGTAAGGCCCCCGGTTGTAATTTTACAACATTACTTTAAGCTATCCAAAAAAAGTCAGTAAATGTTTTTGTTTTTTTAAAAGACTACATTTACATAGTCAAAAGGTCCTTTTGTTCAGCCTCACCATGCTATTGGGTAGTAAATGTGTTTATAGGTCCTGCCCTCTGGCCATACATATAAGACTAACATTCCTGACAATAGATTTCAATATTCATCTTTTACGGTGTAAATGCCTTTTTAATAATAACATTTTTGAATGGAACATTCTCAACACAAATTCATCAATCCAAATAAATATAACTTAAATATGTGGGAAAATACTGTGTTTGAAATGTATAATTGAAATGAGATGTTAGCTTTTTGTTTTGATATATATATATATATATATATATTGGGGCTGTCAGTAGATTAAAATATTTAATCGCATGATTGTCCATAGTTAATCGCAAATTAATCGCACATTTTTGATCTGTTCTAAATGTACCTTAGAGGAATATTTTTCAAGTTTTTAATACTCTTATCAACATATGAGTGGACAAATATGCTTTATGCAAATGTTTATTATCATTTGAACAATGACAAATATTCTCATGAATATTAAACACAACAACCTCTGAACATTACAAATATTCGCCTCAATTCAACCTGGAACCTCTCTCATACAATACAAAGTGTGTGTGTGTGTGTGTGTGTGTGTGTGTGTGTGTGTGTGTGTGTGTGTGTGTGCACGCACGTGAGTGTGTGTGTGTGTGTTGCCCCTTTCACACCAGCGCTTTTTTGAAAAGCGCCGGTTTTTCCTGTTCACACCGCAGCGGCGCCGGCTCTTAGCTCCGGAATCCGGTTCACTTCCAGCTCCAAAAAATTGTCGGTCTAGACTCTAGAGCAGGGGTGCCCAACCTTTTTTGAACCGAGAGCTACTTTTAAAGTTGCCAGTCTGCCGAGATCTACCAGTCCAAATAGAGAGGCGTAGCCATTACTGACAGCCTACTACCAGGTAAATACACACTTCTACAAACTGACCTTTGTACGATGAATACTTCATAAAATACTGCAGATCCTTTATCTTACCTCTTTCTAATCTACACACATACAAGTATTTAACTGAAGTTACACAACAGTGCTGTTGATACAGAGTTGGAGTTTATTCACACGTCACTACAGTGGGTCATGTTTTCAAGAAACATTGAACAGTGCTGCCACATGAATGAAAAGACTCTGAACCCTTTCTTTGCCATTATATAAAAACAGTGTTGCTACAAAAGTATAAATGAGGCTTACTAATAAGACAACTCAGATCTGAAGCTACACAGGAATCTGCTGCCAAAGTGCAATAAAAAAGACAACATTAATAGAATCGAACCATTTTTTTGTTGCATTTTAGTAGATTATAAAAATAAATGCCTTTTTAAAATAGGATGCAAGCAACACTAGTTTCTTAACCTGAATTGATAATAGACTATAATCAATTTAAACAGAACAGATCTTAAGTTTGCATTCTTATACCATTTTGTACAATAATTATAATGAATAAGTTCAAACAAACTAAAACTTACAGCTGATTAATAACGGTATCTAACTTGAGTTTTTATTATATCAAAAACCTGTTGAAATGCTACTGTTATTTTTACTGTCCCCCAAAAGCGCGTCGGCAGCCTTCAGGAATGCTTCTTTCACAACTTCGCCGTCTTTGAAAGACTTCATGTGTTTCGCAAGAACGTGACTGACACGATAAAATGCTATGGTAGCAGCCTTGCTCTTGTTGTTGGGCCGGGTGAAAATGGACTGCTGTGCATTTAGCTGCCCTTTCAGGCCCCTCCCCTTTTGGAGCGTAGGGCAGAATTAGGAGGGAATTCCGTCTCGTAGCGTTTGTGCACTGTTTTGAAATGCCGCTCCTAAATTACCCTTCTTCGATAAAGCCACGCTCACATTGCAGATGAGACAGATGGACTTTGAATTAGAATAGATACAAAAATAATCATCCTCCCACTCGGAGTGAAAATTATATATTTTGGGCTTTTTTACTGTCACTCCTGTTGACACGGACAACAACGTCAGCGAAAATAGTGCACTGCCCCAGTGCCCAGTGCCCACCAGCCACGCCCCGACACATGGGGTCACGCCGGCCAATCACAAAGCTTTGACGCGTTCAAGTGCATTATTCTGGCACAGGAACATTATGTTACAGGACATTAACGATAAAACAGAATATTGTTGTTCTATTTTTAGACACATCTCGCGATCGACTGGGAATCTCCTTGCGATCGACCGGTCGATCGCGATCGACTGGTTGGGCACCCCTGCTCTAGAGGCAAGAGCTTCGGAGCTAAGAGGTGGCGTCGCTTACGTCTCTCTTACGTCGAGGCGTGCAGGAAACTAAACCCACCTCCCCTGAACATGGGTCGACTGTCATGCCTGCCTACAAGCAGTAGTGCTTATAAACACACTTTATAAAGTCAGGCAACACTAACCAGGCTTCGTGTGATTCTGTTTATTTGTATCTTACTTTGACCATCCGTTCACTGTTATTGATCATTGTGGAGAGAGGCAGACGTTTTGTTTTGTATTATAGCAGCTATCGGATGGAATCAATACATGGGCTGCACAGGTTGTCGTGTCCGACTATCACAAGTAGAATCATAATAAAAATACGCCGGTAAAATGTGCCTGTAGAAAACGGTTTATGCCACAATAGGATAGCAATAGCAAGTAGTCAGTTTAGCTTCGGTTGCTATGCTAACATTTTATACCAGAGAAACTTTCATAACAGCGTTGTGATGCCAAACAGCGTCAATTCAGACTGACACACATTCACTTAGGCTAAGGGGAACTGGGGATATGTATCAGCTGCTTGTGTGAGTTGGACAGTGAATACTTTAGAGCGGCCGCTGCAGTGTGAGCTAACCGGGAGCTAACGGGAGAATAAACTCCCGTGGAAGAGCAGCATTAATAAACAATGAACCACGGCACTCTGGAGAAAAGCATAAGGTTGGAGAAGTCGTTATTTAATTTAATCTGGCTTCGTGTGATTAAAAGCAACACGATCATCGACCCGACGCAGTTGTTTGTTGTTGTTGTTGTTGTTGTTGTGAGCGCCGTAACGCCGTTGGGGAGCAAATCAGCGATGTAAACGGTGACGTCATGACGCAGCAGCGGCAGCACCCAGTCGGGCTCTGGGCGGTGTGAACAGAGCGGGAGCAGAAAAGGGAAACCGGAGCTGAACCAGAAAAGCTCCCGCTCGGAGCTAGAAAGGAAAAAGCACTGGTGTGAAAGCCGCATGTGTATGTGTGATGGATCGTTGGAGCTATGTGCAACTCAAGGCATATGCTCGAACGGGAGCTTCCTGGACGCTGCAATCATGTTGCGCACTATCCGTGCTGAGTGTGCTGACTTTTCGTACAATGTCCCACTGTCTGGCTACCTGCATAAAGTCAAGTGCTCGGCGCAGTTGTGGCGAAATGTCGCTCCTCTGTTTTCATTTAAACAGCTCCATATCCGTTAGCGCAGCTAGCTAGCACCAGATGCTAACAACAACAATGCACGTAAGGTCTCTCTCTCGCTCGCTCGGGCCACACATACACACACCCTCCCGGTCCTCCCAACAGCCAGTCGGTGCCTGCCGGTGAGCATGGAAGTGTGGTCTGCCACAAGCGGGCAGCAGGAGCGGGGCTGTCAGCATCAGCTTGTAGATGGTATTTTAAACTCGATGCACTCTGAAACTACGGGGCGGCCGAGGAAAAAAAATACACATGCGTTAATCGCGTTAAAATAATTAGTGGCGTTAATTTTTTTTGCGTTAACTTGACAGCCCTAATATATATATATAGGCCTATTGTATTCCAGTCTCCCTTCAGATATGTTAAGTGGCATGCAATTCAACACAATGCAGCTCACCTCCTTCAAAGTTAAATTAAAAACCTCTGCATTTTCTTTATAGATATTAACAGTACTTAATGTCAGCTTAGTAAAAAAAAAAACATAACAATTATTATTTACAATGGACTACGCTTAGCTAACAGACTAATTTCCACCACTCATGGACCACACTCACCTTTTCTCTTGAAATACTGGGTGACATACTGTCGCCCTTTAGTTCCTCTCTCTTTTCTTTCTCTCCTTTCTTTTCTTTTTCAAAGCATGGCTTTGTGAGTCGTTCAGACATGGTGTTGTACCCTTAAAAAGGGAAATAGTGAGTGAGAGAAGTGAAGACATACAATCACGCAGCTCCCGCCTTCACTCGTCTGAATCGAGCGAGGAAGAGCGCAGTGATCCCTCCCACTGGAACCCCAAGGCATTACCAACAGATTAACGCACAATCAGCCCATACAGTAGGATACATCTATCTCTCAGGATTGACTATTCTTGTCTGTCACAATGGCACACGTAAGTACTAGCATCCCTGCTCACATGCTCTCACTCTCTGCTAGAAAGTGCCGTTTGGAGGCGGAGGCGGGACCAAACCATTACATGTAAATAGAAGGGGGTGTACAGAGGCTTTGGATAATTAACTTTTGGAAGAAAATAAGTTAAATGAATTGTAAGTTTAGTGAGTACATTATCAATATAACGTTATATTTATGTTAATTATTGATGAATGATGAAAGGTTACTTAAACATGTTGTTCTTAATGTTCTAAAATGGTTTGGGCCCCCGTGGTGAGGGTGTTTGGGGTGGCCAATAGGGTGGCCAGGATTCAGCTGGGGGTGGCCACGGCCACTCCCAGCCACCCCCCAGCTCCGCCACTGGCGGGGGACACATGCATGTGTCCCGTTTCTCCATTTCTGGAAGTTGGCAACCCTATTTACTTGTAACTGAGTATTCCTACACTCTGGTACTTCAACTCAGTTACAAGACGTGTACTTCTTCCACCTATCTAAAACTACTTTAGAGAAGTGTTGACTCAAGCCCCTGGTTATTTGGGAAGTTGTAATTTCTTTCTACTTTTCGTGATAATATGCCTTAGTTACCTCATATAAGTGGAACTCAAACAGTAACGAGGAAACCTGTCTTCTTTGGGTACTGTTAGAAGAGGGACTGAATGACTGTAGTCTTTTGAACATGAAGGTAAGAAAAGCGAGAATAAAGAAGTTAACAAAGAACACACTCACCAGCATTATAACCCCCCACGCGCTCAACACCATCCCGCACGCGGCTACTTTTGGTCCACAAATTAACCCACGCATGATTAAACTGATGTATTCCAAAAGAAAGCTGTCTTGCTGCTGGTCAAACTGGGTCAAACTTCTGTCTGTGTTGGTCATGTGACTCTGACTGAAAACCGGAAGTTTCCAGGTTGTTAAATCCGCTGAGAAAAAAAGTTTTAAATATCACGTCACTTGTTTAATTCGATTATGCCGAATGATATATAATCAATTTGAAGTCATTACCACGTAAATATAACACAAATATGTACATACAGATACAAAAATCCCATTATTGTCGGCATGAATAAATCACGTGACCTTACAAGCGTCACGCATCTGACATTTTTCAGTGATTTATGCAGTGTCGGTAGAATGGGAAGAACCGGGACAACACTCCGCTAACACTGGTCAAATGCTTTTATTGCGTTATGTATTAGCAATTTGAACACAATAATCTGTGTTTGGCTCCTGTCAAAACTTAAGTAAGTGTACATATTGGATTTGATTATCTATTTCTCTGTAGTGGTTGGCTGCTTCGGATATGACGAGGCGAGACATAACCATGACGTGATAGTATGCTGCGTTCAAGTTCTGTCGGAATTAATATAAACTTCAGCCCACGCAACAGAACGGAATGATACATTTATTTCTTCATTTGCGCTTACTTAGCACTTTATGTGCTTTTTTTATTTGTACAGTATTGTAATAGCTGTTTAGTGTTGAAGTTGTAAGTTACGTTATTTGTGTTGAAGAAACCATTTGGTGCCTTTAGGCTGGTTCTATACATTGTAAAATATATATAATCCCGTTTACTTCCAGAAAGTTGCCCTCAGACAGCGAATAAAAGGGCTGATTCCCAGTGCTAAACACATTCCAGTTATATGTAGTCTACAAGATATGTTTCACTTTCACTGTCAAACATAGACCTAACCTATATCAGTTTTAACTTTTTGTAGTGTGCATAATTTAGGGTTCCATTGACATGCACCATACACTGCTTTAGTAATCTGTTGATGCCAAACAACTAGTGATAAATGGAAACACGTTGGCGTAATAATACATGATGTACATGTTCTGTTTCTTTACGGCATGAAATCAAAAAGTATCAAGCCTTCTGAAAACCTGGGGGATAACTAATTCAACTACTTTAACATGTTAACATAAATGTATACTACTTAATGCATCATTTGTTGCATTCCATGGAATATAACAAAAAGTGTATCTCGAGCCGGTTTCTCAAACGTACCTACCCCACCTTTAAAGTAGCCTACTTTTTATGCAGAATGATCAATTTCAGAATAATATATATGATATGTCTTGATTATAATAAAAATAAACGATATTGGTGCATTAAAGTGTTATCAAAGCTGGTAGAAGCTAGTTTGAATGACTTTGTATACTGCAGGGTAGCTAAATGTAAGAGCTGATTATATTTCACAGCATTAATCCAAATCAGTAAAGATACTACATAAATGTAGTGGAATCAAAGTAGAATATTTACTTCAAAATTGTAGTTGGGTAGGAGTTGCAGAAAATGGAGACACTCATGTACCTCAACATTGTAATTGAGAAGAGTACTTGAATATATACCTTACCCCATTGACGTACATCTCTGATAGGGCGAAATAAGGTATTACCGAAAGTGAAGATTACGAGGAGACATTGAATGCGGCTTAAGCATTGTCGTTTTATTTTGTGACCTATTTGTGTGCAGTGTAACCTAACGCAGAAACATTTTAATGCACTATGCAGCACTGTGAACAATGTCGGAGTTTTCCAAGCGGTAGCGGTTTAAGAGCAGATTTGTAGCTGCTCTGCTACATCAGGATGAGCACCAAATGCTAACTTGCCTAGCTACACTGTTAGCATCTTAGTAGCTGTTCCGGCCAATTGAAGGCATCAGAGTCCTACTATACAGACTACATACAGTCCATGGTACCAAGGAGATCAGCAGAATGACCTCAGCTTCCACTAAAGTAAGTCATTTTCACATATGAACCACTGAGAAGTAGATAGTCCATGCAGTTAGCCCGGTTTAAATAATAGCAAGTACTGTACACACGGTACACACAGCCCCTGTGTTTCCCGCTGCTGCAGGTACAACAGAGTGTGGTCACTTCAGTGTGCAGAGATGGACGTAGGAAAGTTGGAGACTTTTATCAGTTCTATCAGAAACACTTTCGAAATTAATTCTCCCGCTGAATGAAATTAATGTGCCCTTAATTTTTCTAAGGTCTGATCTGTTTTAAAGTTTGTGTTGTCATAATTTCTACAAGGCTACATACACTATGCACACAAGCAGCACTGTACAGTATATGAGTACATTAACATAAGTAGCCTACTGTACTTAAGTACAATTTTGAGGTACTATACTTGAGTATGTCCATGCTTTGCTAGGTAAATCTACTTTTACTCCACTACATTTTTTTAATACCTTAAATTACTTTACAGATTTGGATTAATGATGTGAAATCTAATCAAGTCTTAAATCAGACTTTATTTCCACCTGGAGTAAATTCAAAGGCTACCCTGCAGTATACAAAGTCATTCCAACTAGCTGCACCTTTACCAGCTTTGAGAACACTTTCATGATCAATCATTATAAAACATATCATATATATTATTCTGAAATGGACCATTCTGCACAATGACTACTTATACTGTTGGTACTTTTTTGATGCTAATACCTTTGTACTTTTACTTGAGTAACATTTGCAATGCAGGACTTTTACTTCTAACAGAGTATTCCTACACTCTGGTACTTCTACTTTTACTAAAGTACTAGATTTGAGTATTTCTTTCACCTCTGCTTCCATACCTTAGTTTAAGACTCCAATATGAAATGTTTTTGTGTAAAAAAGTAAATCCCTGGAGCCAGCCTCTAACATCATCATTATTCATGATGGTACAAAGGTGCCATGGAAATGTCAAATACAAGTGATTTTTTAAAAAGATGATATGTGTGGTTTTTCACATTGCGTCAAACATTCTGATTCTGATGAATAAGTGTGTGTCCCACAGGTTGGGGAGATCTTCTCTGCAGCTGGAGCCGCCTTCACCAAACTAGGAGAGCTCACCATGCAGCTTCACCCGGTGGCAGACTCCAGTCCTGCAGGGTAACACACACACTAGACACTGATCGCTTAATTACAAAGAATATGTTAAACTGTTATAAATACTAAAGTCAGTTCAGTTCCCACCCTCCCTCCAGTGGTCAGACGAAGGGCACCGTGAAGAGGAAGCTGTATGAAGACGGAGGTCTGCCCTCCATCTCTGACGGGCCTAAGAAGGGCACCAAGAAAACCAACGCTGCTGTCACCATGGCAACTCAGGGCACTCCAAATGTCATTTCCGTGCCCACTGGTCGGGTGGTCGTAGCATCAGGACTACAAGGTGCCCCCTCCAGACAGCCCACCCTGAAGAAACAGAAGACTGCAGGTGGGTCTGGAAACTACACGGTTACTGCAAAAATAAATCTGTTGTTAATATCACAATCTCTTCTTCATCAAACCTGATAGTTAAACTAAAATATGTGTAGAATCCACACACTCTTTTACTTGTGCAATTATTTTGCAACTGTTTTTTTCCAAAGTAATTAATCTCCATTAGCATCAACATATTTCCACAGGCATCATATTATCTATATCTTGTTTGTCCATGTCTATTATTCATCTGTTTACCTCCGGTATTTCTGGAAAATTGCAGATAAAGATAAAGTCAAATCTTTAGCCCACGCAGAAAAAAACCAAATGATATATTGCTTTTTTATTTGCAGGTTTTTTACGAAGTGTTGTGATTGCTGTTTTGGGTTGAAGCTGTAAGATAAGTTATTTGTGTTGTTAGACAGTCCAGTTCTATGTAGTCCACAAGATGTAATGTCTCACTTCTGCAAATAATAATAATACATGTTATTTATATAGCGCTTTTTCTGGTGCTCAAAACACTTAAATGAGTGACAACTAGCCAACAACTGTATGATATAGACCTAACCTATATCAGTTATAACTTGTTTATAGTGTGCATACTTTAGGCTTCCATTGACGTGCACCATACTCTGCCTTGTATATCTATTTTAAGATGATGCCAGAAAACTGATGATAGTCGGTGAAACTCCTGTGATTTCTTGACCTTTCCAGTTCAGTGTGTTGTAAAGCTCTAAAAGTCCAAATGAATTGGGACAAAAAGTAGATGTCAACTACAGTCCACATTTGTTTGCAACCAGCAAACATTTTCACTGTGGTCGAGCAGCAATGTAACAGCCACCTAAATTACACTGATAAAACCACAATAAGAAAACAAAATGAAGGGGTGATGACATGTTAGTAGACAAACGTATCATTCACTTTCTTTCTGCTTTCTATCTTTGAAACTGAATACTTATATGGAAGTATTATTGAAATCAAATCAATCAATGTGTGGTACAGTATGTCATAACAGTTTTCTTTCTTGTGTGTGTAGACGTGACCCTCAGCGCTCTCAACGACTCAGATGTCAACAGCGATCTTGTGGACATGGAGGGACTCGGTGAAGGATCCAACTCCAAGAAACTCAACAACTTTGATCAAGGTGAGTTCATGAACAGCTCCTGAAAGAGAGGGATTTTAAACAAGGGCTGGGGACAGGACATCAAAACAGTTTTGACATGGTGGCTTTAATTCTAATGCGCAGGCAGCATTGAACAATTCATAATCAAATGTACACACCGGCATAATTCATCTAGAAGTATTTCAGAGAGAATAGATCAAGGGATCCGACTTTTAAACATCCATTAATCAACAATGAATTGATCAAAATAAATAAGCTTTTAAAAATCTTAATTTTAAAGAGCTGTTTTTAAAGATTCAGTAGTCTTCAGTAGGAGCCAATTTGCATCATTTATTTAATTAGATTTATTTAACCCTCCTGTTGTCTTCGGGTCAAATCTGACCGATTCACTACTTTCATCAATCATAACTTTTTGTTTTACATTCGATTGCATTTAGGCTTTATGATATCCTTCACAGAGTCGACATCTGAACATATACAATTGCTGATCACCACTTTCATTGAATTTTGGATGATTTAGTCAACTTTGTAACACCCATGGTGTTCCCGGTCACATGACCGCTATAAAGAAAAGGAATTGGTAACCATCCGGATCAGATAAAGCACACACAAACACCCACACACATACTCTAGATGTGTCCCCCCCCCCCCCCTTATGTGCCCATCCCCCCATGTGAATCACACCTGGCACTCACAAAGAACAATTTGATACATTTCCCGCTCTTATGTGCCCATAGATCAAACCTGACACACCAATACATGTTCAGTGTCTATTCTTTGTATATGTACTGCAGTTGTTCATGTATACCAGTAGTCTGATACAATATGTACAGTTTGAAAGGGTGTGAAATGAAATTTGGTGATGATTAATGGTTTTTGTGTTAATGTAATAGCAGTTAAAACGGGACCGGTCAAATTTGACCGCGAACACCAAAGTAAGGGGGAACAAAGACAATAGGAGGGTTAATGGGTTTTCCACAATTTTTAAAAACACACAAACATAACAGATAACAAATGATAAACAGAGCAGGAAGAGGCAAAACAACCCATTGGGCTTATTTAAAGTTACGACCTAAATAATGTTAAAAATCACAATTTTGTATAAAACACAAGATGTTCAAACAGCTTCAATTCAATAAAAATGGCACATTTGAAAAACAACACATACTTTACTTGAAAACCCGGCCTCATACAGGTAACATTATGTTTGAGGTATTTTTGAAAGCAATGCAGAGGTTCAGTGTTTAGTTGAGCTGAGTGGTGCAGATTGGGGACGGAAGTCAGACGTTCTTTTTCTCTGAATTAGTTTTCCATATTTAAAGCTTCCCCCCAGACTTCTCTCCTTTTAATATTGGTGCTTTTTTTGTGTCTCCACAGATAACCTGAACCTGGACTCGGGCCTCATCATGAACCCCAGTGACCTTCCTCTGCTCTCCCGCTGACCCGTCACTTCCTGTGGACTCAAAGTGATGGACCCAAAAACCCACGTTTTAAAAAAACCGGACTTTTCCTTTGAGCCAGAAGACGCTGACCGCCCAGAAGGGACTACAGATAGTATTGAATACTGTGTTGTATCATGCGGGACAATTGGACGCATCTTACTAGTGTGAGAGTTGTCAGCACTCTCAGAATCATGTTTGGATCATTTACATTTTCTTACTGCAATAATGATTGCATTAGACCATTTCCTCTCCTAATTGACTTTGCTTTGTAGGAGCGTCCAAAACAAAAGTGAGGAAGCTGTTCCAACATTCAAACTTCCTGTTTCTTTACAAAGAAGCCAGGAAACAAACACAATGCAACAGAGAGACCTCGGTATGTTTGTCTGAATAATAATGTTTGATTGTATTTCTTGTCCTCACCACTTTTAGCTAATGGTTGTATGAGCAGGTGATTACACAAGTCTTAGTTTAGGATAAACATATTTAAGTAGTTATTAAAGTCTTTAGAACAAAGACATGTTGGACTCCTGTCTGAGTGAATGAAACGCTTCCTTCCTATTAACGTGTTACAGCAGTCAGATTGTATTCTAAGAAACACTCTGTTAAATAACTAACAAGGGTCATTGCTAATTGTTTAAGAGCTGTATCAGAAGTATCAGTAGTACACATAAGTACAGTACACATCTTGAAGCTATCAGAAACAAGAGTTAGCAATAAGTGTGGAACACAGTATTTTTGACGTATACTGTACATTTAAGTTGTACACATTAAATAGTCTTAACTACATTGTGTCTAAGAAAACAATCCTCTTGTCACAAAACAAATGCTACAAAAGTTTGGAGATGTAACAAAATGACTTGTAACTAATTATTTATACTTTGAAATACTCACAGGTGTCATATATCAACCCAGGTGTCTGATGATACAACAAACAGCAAACATTTCAAATGAACTTATATATATATAATACAAGACTTGCATTAAACGTGATTTGCCTATTGTAGCATTTACCTTCGTTTACATAGTGCTAATCAAATATTCAAACATGCCCGTTAGTTTCGTCACCTCAGTATGTTTCAATCTGTAAAGACACTGTGATTGGGACAACATTTAGGAAGGAGTGACTGATACACGTGATTGAATCAAAAGGATTTGGAAGTCATCTCCTTGGTCCAGTTTGAGATGATGTTTGCACGTGTTCATTTGAATTGAATTCCTTTTCCAAAGCTAGGAAAGTGAGCAGAGTGAAATCAGCAGTTTAAATGTATGAAGAAGAGACATGAAAAGAGCCCACACTTCTTTATTTGATTTGTGTTTTTATTAACAGTGTAATTATTCATATATCCCAACAGCACTAGGTAAGAACAATTCATCATGTTGCTACTTTTGTTGCAAACAAAAGTCTGAAAGCTTGGAACACATTTGCTTATCAGAGATGGCGGTGGAGGAGTGTGAGTCTGACAGGAGCAGCACACGTCATACTGGTAACAGACAGAACTACCAGTAATGATGTGCTGCTACAGCCTGGCACACTGAAGGTAACCTCAAATATTCAGGAGGAATATATATCAACTCACATCTTTAAGGATATCATGGCGCTTATCATGTGACACAAACATGTTACAGGAATACAGGAAGCTTTTTATTTCAATAACCAGAAATGATGTTAGAATGTTCAGACGGACAGCATTTTTATGGTGCAATATTTCATCATCCACATATTATCCAATACCTTTTGTGAAATACTTTGTTCCCATGTGTGAATAGAATAAGCTGAGTGAACGTTTACAGAAGCTAGTCCACGCCGTACAGGGAGGAGATCCCTTCCACCTGCTGGAGGAAAGGAAACGAAGGGAAAACAAGTATTATTTTAGCACAACAGATAAAGTGCACCGCCTGCAAGAATTCATTGATATCAGAGAAACCAAATTCTACAGAACATGTCGTCTTCTGTGTTTCATAAAATGACCATGAGCCAATCAGAGTGGATTATAAATCACATTGGTATTAAACGCATCATTTCTATTTCTGTCTTTATTGGAAAAGCTTGGATTTGCAGCAGATAGTGATTCATTGTGGGTTATAATCTCTGTTCAGCCGTCGGACCCTTCAACTGCAACAAAAGAGGAAGTAACAATGATGGTGTGTTTTATTCTTTCCCATAAATAACATTGGTTTAAAGAGGGGGGGGGGGGGAGACACAATTATTGAGTTAAAGACAGCTAATGAAAAGGGGAATAACTGGAAGTGGATTTGTCATATTTGACTCACTCACCTCCTCTGGCATCAACGGATCCTCTGCTTTTACACTGAAGGCTAGAAGTCAGCTTTCAACAAGTTCTCTTTTTGTTTTGTCATTTTTAACGATAATTGACAACACTTGAAAAAAGGCCCACTCTTAAATATTCAGTCACTTATGTAATTAAATGATTTGACCTGAAAGAAGTATCGGAAACAGCCAATCGGATACGAATTAATTTATCCGATTGGTTAATTCCAAACAAATTAAATATTTCTAGAATGTTCAGATTAACTTAATTAATAATGAGTCTTTCCTTAATCTACAAATGGTGTAAATACAATAATTCTCTATATTTAAATGTTTTTTCTCAATGCTATTGAACAAAAGAAACCAAACGTGTCATATACAGTAGCTGCTGTTCCACAGGTGACACACACGTGGACAGAGGACATGTGACACCTCTGACCTTTCAGAGGACAGACTGCAGACACAGATCGGGTACGGGGAGCTCCCAGTGTGATGGTGGGAATCCCAGGGCTCACGGTGGCAGCACAAAATGATTTGGAGTGATTCAGCAAATATCTGCAAAACATGATGTGCTGCTAGAGCGCACCCTGGACACTGAGTCCATCACGTCTACTGGCTCACACACACACACACACACACACACACACACGAAAAACAGTTTAACACTCAGACATAACAGGGAAATTAGAGTCTTCCTTTTCTCTTCATTTACAATACGGTCATTTCATTGTATCACAAACAGGATTTCTCTTTAAAGCAGTTCAACTCAGTCAAATGTGTAATAATCTGCAGTTAATGACAGAACTAATACTATTATTTGAAAGATGAATACATACAGCCGTTTTTTATGTTCTGTATTATTTGTAAGGGAAATCTGACACAAACAAAATGGTTGAAGAGGACAAAATGGAGGAAGAAAAAAAGAGGAAGGACTAGAGGTGAAGAGTCCATGAGACACACTGCTGTTCTGCTTTACGAACATTTCTAAATGATGCATTCAAGTACAGAATAAGACAACCGAACGAGTTACATTCGAGGAGTAACAATTTCCTTTTTTGTTTCCTCCTTTTCTTCATTTCTGTTTTTGTAGAGAACCACCTGTCTATGCATTTTCTCAGGCCCATTCACATGTTACAACATTCCTGTTCTTTTAATAATGTTAACATAACGAAAATAAAAACAAATGTAATAAACCCTTCAGATTGTGTCAGTGCAAATCACTATGCTGTTACCACAGGAACACCAAGGGTAACACTTAGTGTGAGCATCTCCTCGCTGCCAAATGGTTTACAAAATGTACAATTGATGAAATTGTTAATCAATGATCCGCCTCATTCTGACATGCATTTTTTTTAAATATACGTTTTGATTTCATATCTGCTTTTAGTGTCATTTCTATACACTGACACGTTGACACACAAGAGCCCGGAAGAGAGCAGGATACTAACAAGGCAATGCAAATTGTTATTTAAAAAACCCAAAAATGAAAGGAATAAAAAGTGGACTAGATGGGAGAAAAGTTCAAACTGAAATGTTTGATCGGCTTCTGCTCTCATTAAACCCTAGGAAGGGAAAGGTGGGCTGCTAATGTGGATTAGATTCATTCTACATTTACACTCATTTCCCTAAAAGTGGTTTAGAGGCATTCAATCCCTCTAATGTTGTACCACTTGCTTTCCATCCTGAATCTACTCCGCAGGTTCAAGTGAGATGGGATCTGTCTATCACAATGATCAATTCAAAACAACTTGAATTGGTTCAAATTGGTTATGAAGCATTTGCATTTAGCATATCAAATACAGGCACTTTCATATACTAGGACCAATAACAAATACACAGGAAAAATACTCAATTAAAAAGTAAAAAACAGTCATAATGAGTCATTTCTCTATCAAATGCAAACCTTTTTTGTTAAAAGGTAACTACTTTTACACATGGAACAGGGAATAGCAGCATAACCTCACTCTGGGTAAATGGACACCAATAATGTTTTAATACTATAAAAAAAAACACACAAGAAAAGTCTATAAATGGATGGATCGTATTTTACAAGTGCTGTTGTTAATTATGAAGTTAATTAATTCCATCGCCCTGAGCAGCTTTATTGATGCCACATACCCAGAGAGAGTAACCAGAGCTGAGCCACGTGAGTCGGATTAAGCTGTCCATCAACAAAACTGAGTCTGGCTCATTTTGTAAATTATTTAACTAACGATTCATTATAAAAAGTCATGTGTTTGAAAACTGTGATGAGCATTTTTGAACATGTTATGAGTTTCTGGTGTGGTCTTCAAAGGCCAACAGTCCAAACCCTAAAACATTTTGACATTTCTGCTTGATTAATGACTTCAACAATTAATGCTTAATAAAATGTTGGCAAAATGTTCTTATGTTGGACGTTTTGAAAAGAACATCCCCTATTCACATTAGACTTCCACCAGCAATGGGATGTAGGTGTATACTTTGAGATGTGGCTGTATCGGGCTGCAAATAACACTTGTTTTATTTATCTTTGTCATAAATTAAATTAATGAAGATGTTTTTCTGGATATTTAATATATTGTTTTTTAAATGTAGAAAATAATGAAGAATGCCCACGTTAAGTTCTCAATGTTAGTTTTTATCCAAACACAGTCGAAAACCCCAAAATATTTATTTTACTATAACAAAAAACATCTCAATGCAGAGGTTGTATGCCTAAAGTAATCATTAAAACATGTGTTTATGAATAATTGTCCATCAATTGAATAATCAAATAATTGTTAATCGTTTCCACACGAAAATAAATGATATCAAGTAATTTAACAATAGATAGATTAGAACTGCAAACTAAGAGTTGTGCCAAACTTTGACTGTAAACCTGAGATAAAGTTTGAGGGCCACAGAGAGGAAGAACTCATGGCCTGAAGCACCACACCCTACCTCATGTACTTAAGATTTGTACCTTCCACAAAGTTGCATCTAAGGGGTAAAAACACAAGTACACTTCATATTCTCTGCCACAAATTAAATACGAGAAAATCAACTAGCTTTATCCGATTAAGAATTTAAAAGGTGGGGTCAGCATTTAAGGCCTATATGGACGTGATGAAGTGGAAAAGCAGTGTAACTCGTGCTGAGGGCTCAAGTGAAGCCTTATTATAGAGCAATACGACCTGAGTCAATGAGAAAGAGCAATGCTGAGGGATTTGAAACAAGAGGTCATGTCAGCAGGGAGAGCAGACAAGCTTTAAATTCAGACCCAAACT